AGTTCTGACTCATAGCGACCCTGTAATAGGGTTTCCAAGGAGCAGCTGGCGAATTTGAACCACCGACCTTGCAATCCAGTGCATTATCCCACAGTGCCATACCAGGACTCACACACACACACAAACACACACACACACACACACACACACACACACACATGAAGGGGCTTCAAACGGTTCGTGGGAAAATAGAATTAAAAGCTACTAGTAACTTCTAGCAAAATGGCAGACTAGGCAGACACACTACATGGATCCCCTACAACAAAGATAGAAAAGACCAAATAAAACAGACACAGATGAAAATCAAGGAACCTTAAACGTCAGAGGAAAAGTGGGTTGATTCTTTGCTAGGAGGTGTAATTCCTACTTTTTCCTCACACTCCACTGGTGACCCACCCTCAGCCACCCCAGGCACAGACCCTGTTCTCTGGGAGTTTGGAACTATAGGGTTGGGAGCCAAACAATAGCCAGTGTGTGGTGGGGGCTATTGTAATACATAATAGCTACACTACTGTGGTGTGCTGCTTTGGGATCAGGATTCAGGCGGGCTTGGCTCCAGACCTACAGAACTCACAGAGCCACCAGACCAGCATTTAACCAGGCACCCTGCCCCCAGCTGTCCTGCGGTCCTAACAAACACAGAAACCTGCTCCAGAAAGGGCCTCCACGAACTACTTCCAAACTGAGTGCCCTGAACACACATAACACCAAGGCTGATAAGAACGCCACATCTAGGGCAGGAACTCCACTGTCACATCCCTCCCACACTACCTTGTCAGCTTCTAGGCTGGCAAAAGCCCCTCCTGATTTTTCTCCTAGCTGGGTCACTGGGTCAGTCAATTGCATTGTTGTTGTTTTTTTCCTTTTGTTGTTTTTATTCTTTCTCCTTCTTCTCTTTCCAGTCCCTGAAATTTTATCCTACCTCTGTACCTGTTTTTCCTTCTTTTCTTCTGTTTCTCATTTACCTTCATCTTTTTTCCCCTTTTGATCTTTCCTACTTTCTGCTCTCTTTTTATCTTCCCTCGCTCTGGTTTCTCTAAATGCTTTTTTTTCTTCCTTCCTTCCTTTTATTTTCTCTCTTATTTTTCTCTTCTATAGCTCCATTTTCCCATCCCCTTTTTGTCTTTCAGTTTATATTCTTTTTCCCCCTGATTTCTGCCTGTTTTTAATTATTTTTTCTCCTTTATTATTTTCTCTTTTCATTGTTGGTTACATGTTTGTTTACTCTGTTTTGCTTCCAGATGTATAAGTGTGGGAGGGATATGTCCCTTCTTCCCCACCCTATTGTTGTTGTTGTTAAGTGCCATTGAGTCGGTTCTGACCCATAGTGACCCTGGATAGGGTTTCCGAGGAGCAGCTGGTGAGCTAGAACCACAAACCTTGCAGTTCAAATGGATGTGCTCTCTGGTGCAATAACCCACAGCGCCACACATAGGAGATGGCAACCATGACCATACAGTCCAGTCCAACCAAATCCTCTGCAACTCCACCTATGGGACAAAAGCCAGTATCAGCTTCTATATCACCTGATCAACAATGCAAAACAGCCTACACCAGGAAACAGTGCACACGCTTCCATTCTGTAACTATATCCACTGGAGACAGTTGATATGATCATACAACAATACAATCAACATACAATCGTTAATTAAATACAAATATGAAAACACTACAATGTTCTGGAGACACCAGACAATTTTAGCTCACACAAACAAGAGAGAATGGCATAAACAAATGACTAAGATGCAGAGTCAGAAAACATTTCTGAGAAAGGAAAGGTAATGGAACTAACTGAAAAAGAATTCAACAGAATGATATTTAGGAACTTCAGAGAAAGAGCGAGGAAAGCAAGGAGAACACAGAAAACTTAAAACAATTCAGGAAAACACTACAAGAACAAACAAAATAAATACAAATTTTCAAATAATATAAAATCTGCCATTAGAAATCCAGAAGATTAATACTAAGATTTCAGAAGTGGACAATATATTACAATGGCAAAAGAGTACATTCAAAGCAACAAAAGCTCGAATTAGTGAGCTTGAAGATAAATCTCTCAGTACAAGTATGCTAGAACAACCAGAAAAATTAATGAAAAAATTCCAAAGAAACTCTGAGATTTATGTGGCACACCATGATGAGGAATAATTTATAGGTGATCGGAATTCCAAAACAGAAAGAGACAATAAATAACACAGGAAAAACTGTTGAAGAATTGCTGGAAGAAAACTTCCCTGACATCATGAAAGACAAGAAGATAAGCATGCAAGAAGCTGAATGAACCCCAAACAGGAGGGACTCCAAAAGAAAATCACCAAGACATATCATAATCAAACTTTCTAAAAGCAAAGACAGGAAGGAATCCTGAGAGCAGGTAGGGGAAAATTAAAAGTTACCTACCTATAAAGGAGAATCAGTAAGACTAAGCTCTGATTTCTCACAAAAAAACATGCAGGTAAGAAAGCAATTTGGGATGGCACATACAAAACTCTGAATGAACTAAACTGCCAACCAAGAATCATATTCCTAGCAAAGTTTCCCTCAAATACAATAGTAAAATTAGGACATTTACAAATAAATAGAAATAAAGGAATTTGTCATAATAATACCAACTTTACAAAAAAAAAAAAAAAAATACTAAAGGATGTTCTTTGGACTGAGAACCAACAATAGCAAACAACTTGAGGTTACTATACATGACACAACCACCCAGAATTCAATCCAGATATAGAAGTATTTAAAGTAAAACAAACCTATAAGACTAATATAGGGAACCAGGGAATATCAATTTATAAAGGAGTCAACTGCAAAGCAAAAACAGGGAGAAGTGTAGGTATAGAACTTCCAAATGGCGAAGAAGTGATTTCACAAGAAAACAAATTTTGAAACAGGGAAAAAAAATTAATAAGTTAAAGGGTAATCTCAAAGAAACTGAAGACATCTTCAACATTAAAATAAAAAGGAGGAAAATTAGAAATGAACACAACAGAAATGAAGAAAATGTTAAGAAAACACACAAACAAAAATGAACTTAGCACAGAAAATTATGCGGAACAAAGAAACCAGCAGCATCACAAAACACACACAGACACACACACAGCAAAATGACAGCAATCAAGTCATTGCTGTTTTTAAGTGCTGTCAAATCAGTTTCAACTTATAGCAACCCTGTATAGGGTTTCTGAGGAGTGGCTGATGAGTATGACCATCAACCTTGCAGTTCAAGCCGACATTGCAGTCCAGTACTTATCCTAGGGCGCCACACCAGGACTCCACCCTATGTTTACAAAGCAGAAATGCTCCATAAGGCTTGTTTATTTTTCCCTCATAAGGTTTTCAAGGCTGTGTCCTTTCAGAAGCAGATGGTCAGACCTTTCTTCTGAGATACTCTGGGTGGGTCTGAACCACCAACCTTTTGGTTAGTAGTTGACCTTGTTGTTGTTAAGTGCCGTGGAGTCGATCCCAACCCACAGTGACCCTGTATATGGTTTCCAAGGAGCAGGTAGTGAGTTTGAACCACTAACCTTGCAGTTCAAATGACTTTGCAGTCTGACGCATTAGCCCACAGCGCCAACGAGGACTCCAGTAGTCCACCTGGCAGTAGACCTGATAAATGTCATAAATGTGTCTGCTCTGATTCTATTTGCATTTCACTGAAAACAGTGATGAAAATGATAGAAGACTTAACAAATAGTCGTCTTGATTCAAGGTCCCTAGATGATGTAAACGGTTTGTAATCATCTGCTAACCTAAAGGCTGGCAGTTCTAACCCACCTAGCAACACTGTGAAGAAAAGGTCTGGTGATCTGCTGTTAAGATTACAGCCAAGAATTTGCCCCAAAACAAAGCTTAGCAGGCAGGAAGGGGCAGGAAAGGAGGACAGATGGACACAGGAACCCAGGGAAGAAGCAGCACTATTACATCGAGAGGGCTGCAACTAATGCTATGAAACAAAATGTGTAAAAACTGTTGAATGGAAAACGAATATGCTCTGTTAATTTTCATCCAAACCACAATAAACAGATTTTTTAAAAAAAGATTTAGAGCCAAGAAAACTATAGGCAGCAGTTCTACTCTATAACACATGGGGTCACCACTGAGCCAGAATCTACTTGATGGCAACGAAGAGTCACCACATTCTTGATTCAGCCTCTTCCTGGACAATATTCTTTGACTGCAAAGAGAGAAGTGGTTTCAGAAAACATCTACATACTTAATCACATGATCATGTAACATCTTCGTGCAATCAAGCATAAAACAGTCTAAATGACTGGGGAGATGGGGCTCTCTGTGGGACCAGGCCAGGAATAACAAGCAGGTAGGTGGCATACCCCATGTCATACTCTTCTCCAACCCTCACTTGTCCAAACACAAGACAGGGTGCCACTTCAGAATCCTTCTCATCATGTGCACCAGGCAGCACTACTAACTAATCAGGGCTAGCATCTGTCTGCTACCCTGGACTAAGTTCTGTTAGCCCTGGGATAAGGTGTTCTTCAAGGATCCTGGTAGAGGAAGAATAGAGACAAGACGGAAGCTTCAACTAGGGCAAGGCTGCCCTTGAGAATGTGGTGCCTGGCATTAGAGTTCCCCTAGCAACCACCTCTCGGAAGTCTTTCTGCTATACCCTAAACCTCACCATCTCCTCCAGAGTAAGGGCCAAGAAGAGTGCCTGGCCACAGTAACTTGCGTGCTGGGGTGTCACAGGAATCATGGGTGAGTAATAATGTATGAGAAAAGAATAACCATCCACACCTAGTCCAACACTTACCTTTATCGCATGCTTTCCACAGAAAACCCTGTGAATGTGTTACGTTTTTTTTCTTTAAATCAGACTGATAAAATGATTGAAATAATTTACGGAAAATATATTATTTAAAAAACAAAATCTAGGTGTACTAAAACAATCGCTGCTGTTTTCCAGGTCAGTGCAAAGATACATAATTCAGGCAAAGTGTTGTTCTTTGATAATAATTTCCATGCCCCCAAATATCCTTTACCCTTTTTTTCTTTTGCAGATATTGATCCCACGCAAACTCTTGAAGAGGAACTATTATAGGATCTTCAAACTTGGATGGATAAGTGATCTTCAGTCTCTAGGTTTAAAAATGAAATAACTATTTTAGAGTACACTCTCTCATTTTTTAATCAGTCCCCCCACCTTTTTAAAAAAAGCTTTTATTATGAATTGACTGAAAGTTTATAGGGCAGATCATCAGTTTTACATTCAACAAATCATGCACCTTGTTTCATTACAATGATTATAATCCCCTCCATGTACCATCAGTTAACAGTATTTCTCTCTATTCACTTTAGCTTTTTTTTTTTTTTTTTAAACACTCAGGCATATGTAATAATTGGCACCACCAAAGGGCACATTCTGCAAGTCTGCCTCCTGGCCACCAGCTCTTAGTCCTCTCTACCCATGTCTAGAGTCCCATTCTCTGCCTCCAGCTCTGGTGTCACTGCTTCTTTGGATAAGGTCTCTCATTCTGTTTGTGCTCTTCTCCCTTGATGATCCTAGGGTCCTTTGTTTCTGGACTGTAAGATTAACTACTTTCCCCATTTTTGTTACAAAATTTCTACCTTTACAATTGTGACAGTTGCAATTAGTCATGATAACTATTACTCACATAAGAATTAACCACATAAGAATCTTATCCCCATCTCTTTTAACCAGACCCATCTAGACAAGATGAAAACTATTCAGTGGGGACTCCTTCTTCCCCCCACACACTTTTAAACTAAACTCCCTTCTGAAACCTTGTAAGCCAGTCACTTCATGCCTTTATCGCTCCATCATTTTAGGTAGCTAAAATCTAAGTTGCCTGTAGAGTAGATTGTCTTCTAAAGCCCCAATTTTTATGGTACTCCCAGGAAGTTTCATACCATGCACACATGGGCCACACAGTCTGTCTTAGGTATATAACTGTTGCCTGCTCCCAGAAAACTCTGTGCTTATGTGAATAAGGCACTCCCTAGTGTGGTGCTGTGGGATTAAATAACTAGACCGCAAAGTTGGTTTGAACTACAAAGTCGGTGGTTCAAACTTACCAGCCACTCCTTGGAAACCCTATACAGGGTTACTATGAGTCAGAACTGACTTGACAACACTTAACAACAACCAAGTGCATATTGGGGTTCTTGCTAACTTGTCTCTCACCTCTACAGCATAAGCTCCTTGAAGGCAAGGTGTATGTCTTAGGGTCCCTAAGTTCCCACCCAGATGACAACTAGCATGTAATGGATGATCCATACAACAGCAGCCAAATAAACAAATACATCATTCTGTGACCTGCCATATTCTTTTCCTATCAGTTTTTCCCTAAATCAAACTCTTGTCTCGATAGAGCTAACATATACTTTACTCATAACCAAAATCAATGTTATGGCTTTTATTCACCGACATATAGACACTGGCAAGGATACAGGTATGGTTATGATGCTTTAGGGGATAAAAAGAAACATACATTAAATATATTCAGGTTTAGATATTAAATATGTTTTGAGTTAGCATATATTGTTTTGTCTATATAAATCAGAGAAAATTACTAATTTACAATCCCTGTCCTCAAAAAATAGTTTTGACTTCTGATGAGTTATACTTTGCCTCATACTAAAGCAACAGAAGATAAAGGAGACAGTAACAATTAGGCTTCACTTTTCTGAGCGGGTCTGTGGAGTCACGGGGCCAACAGGGTAAAGTGACCACTGGGCTTATCTCTAAAGAGTCACTACAGTTGACATCTTCTCCACTGAACTGTGGAGTCCCACTATCTGGATTCAAATCCTGACTTCTACCATTTCTCTGGGCCCATTATTTTCTCCACTAAGGAGAGTGTCAAAGTCCTGGTGTGCCACTGTAGGATAAGCACTGGACTAGTAACTGCAAGATCAGCGATTCAAACCCACCAGCTGCTCCTCAGAAATGCCATACCAAGTTGCTACCGACTCGACGGCACTTAACAAGGATAGTACTAGAACGTGCTGTGGTGATCTAAAATAAGACACTGGTCTAACAGGCTCCAACTAGGGTCAGAGTTCAATGAGGAGATGTCCAGACATGGGTATATACTGCGTGGAGTAGAAGAGGGCAATAGCAAGCAACCACTTCCTTCCTAGATCACTGCACCCAATAAGCAGATATCATGTCCTTGTTCTCACTCCAGTTTGAGACAGTCATATATGAGAACTGTTGTTTCTAACCAAGGAACCATCTGGAACTAATTACTGTAGTTTTCAAGTTTAACAATATCAGAATGTATTCATAATTTTTGAATTTGTTCTAGAATAGACTAAGTCCAAAGTAAACTATGTTGTTATTAGTTGCCATATTCACCAACTCATGGCAACCCCAGAGTGCGGACAAGTGCTCCAGAGGGTTTTCAGAAGCATACAGCTGAGCTGTCCTCCAAGACACTCCTGAGCGGCTTCAAACAGTCAACCCTGCTATTAATCATCAAGTGCTTAACCATTTGCATCACCCAGGGACTCTTTAAAAAATGGTGGTGGTGGTTTGCCATGGAGTCACTTCCAACTCACAGTCACCATGTATAGGGTTTTGGAGGCAATAAATCTTTACAGGAATAGAAAGCCTCATATTTCTGCCAAGGAATGGCTGGTAAATTCAAACTGCCAACTTTGCAAGGGATCCTTCTTTAAAATATATGTAATACAATATCTCAATTTATACAAATCTAAGTCTCTGTCAACAAATGAGGCATCTGGGAATCTCACAAATTATCATGCTGGGAATGCACTCAAGAATTCTTTATTAGGACAGAACCAATACACATAAAACTGAATTCACTTTGATGTGTTTTCATATTCAAATAGCTACAGTAGGCAAAATCTTAAGAAAGAAAAAATGAACCTGATTAATATGTGCCATGATTTGATTGGCCTAGCCAAAAACTTCCAGTTTCTTATATAAAGTGTTCTTTTTATTTATGTTTTTCTTTTATGTCGTTCCTTGTGTCTAAAAAGAAATGTTTGGGCTCTCCAAAATATCTGTGTACCAACAAATTAGTGAGGCACCCGATTTTACTGGAATAGTGACTGCCATTGAAGATTTAAAGAAAAGAACTTTCTGAATCAATAGCTTTAAAAAATCACTTGGCAGAGCTCAACTAGAAGAAAAAGAGGAAAAAAAAGAGTAATCTGATACAATTTGATAAACTTGACCTACATCTATGGATGCAGTAGTTCAAAAGAGGGAACAAATCTTTACAGCAAGGATCATTCCCACCCCCTCCATACACAGAGTAGACAGGGATGGGCAATTTGGACATTGGCTACACAAAATGGGGCGGGGTGGGGTGGGGCACTACAAAGGCAAGAAGTGACTGGCTTACAAGTTTTCAAGAGGGAACCTAGATCCATCCAGAGGGCATGGAGGAAGGTAGAATGTCCACTGAGTAGTATCCAATCTGTCTAGGCCGGGCTGATGAAATGAAATGCAGATAGGTCTCTTGTGATACAATAGTGAATAATTGCTATCAGGACTGATTGTGAGGATTGGAAATGTAAAGGTAGACATTTTGTAGCTAGGAGGGGAGTGATTAACTTTTTAGTCTAGGAGTTGAGGTCCCTGAGACCATCAAGTGAGAAGAGCAGAGAGCGGGACCCTACCCAGAGAAGCAGTGATGCCTGAGATGGAGGCAGAGCCGATGACGTGGAGAGATGGAGCAGCTGGGGACTTTAAGACACAGAGAGAGAGATAGGCTGTGTGCTGATGAGGGGGGTGGGGGGAGACAGGCTTGTAGTGTATACCCTTTGGTTGGTTGATGCATGGAGGGGATTGTAACCCTGGCAATGAAACAATATATGATAGGATGAATGTAAAACTAATGTTCTCCCATGTAAACTATCACATAATTCACAATAAAACATTAAAAAAAATCACTTGGAGAGGGAGTTTGTAAATAACAACTCTCTATATGGTAACAATTTTTCCTGAACATTTTGTAGTGACTTTTTTAAAATCTACAATTAAAACGAATATGGAATAAAAAGCGTGAATATGTAGAGGAAGGATTATGAATGCTTTCTTTCACGCGTATCACCCTTTTCAAAGTACAAGAAGTCCAAGGCCCACCAGAGACTCCGGAGATGAGGGGCCCCCAGCGAACACCGAACTTTGCCAACCAGGGGCACGGGGTGAACAATCCAAGCCGCCAAGACCCCAAGGCCAGAGAAACTGCGCCACACTTTCGGTTTCTTTGCCTTTACCTCAGCTGTGCTCTTGGCAATCTGAAAGCTGGAGCTCTTGAAGAGCCCCACCACCTTCACCTGCAGCGGCAGTTCGGGCGGGGACTGCTGTTGGCTGCATGGGTGCCGCTTCGAAACGCAGGGCTCCGGGCTTGCCATGGCCAAGACTAGAGCCTACCCTGAACACACAGTGCGTCTCCAAGGCAACCACGCGACCCCGCCCCCGTCGTTTGCAGGGGGCGGGACTTGGGACCGGAAACTTCCTTGTGGCTTTTTCTCAACTTTGGGCCTGTTGCCTGTGAATCCAGCAAAAGGTGGGAGAGGACTGCGTGGGCGGCCAAGGATTAGGGGCTAGTTTCGGGAAGAAGAGTCGGAGAGCCCGACGCCCCACGTGCTTCAGCCCCGCTTGCAACGCACCCCGGCACGGGATCCCCAGCGCTCCGCGAGCGCCTGCGTTCCGCAACAGATCGTCTTTCCGGTTAGGCTAGTGGCCGGATTCCGCGGCCAGTTTGTGGCCAGAGGACCGGTTGCCCAGGTAACACAGGAGCCGGTCCTGGGACGCACGCTCTTAAGGACCGGCACGAGCGGGCGAAGGCCCGATTCTAAACTGCGCAGGAACCCTGGCCGTGACACCCAGGGGGCGGGACTGCGTACCTGTGAGCACCTCCCCAGGCCCGCCCCTATCTAGGCTACCCCTTGTAAACTCGAGCCAGCCGCCTCGCCCAGTACCCAGAGCGGCCCAGCCATGAAGCCAAACTTCTCCCTGCGACTGAGGGTCTTTAACTTCAACTGCTGGTGAGTGGGGTCTGGGAGTTACATTTCCTTTCGCACCCACCAGCCTGAGGAAGGAAGCCTTCCACACTTCCTGGCCACCGCCCTATCCTGATTTGTGGTCTTGGGGTGCAAGGGGAACCAGCATGTCCAAAGCCCACATCTGGACCTAGTTTTGGTGGTACCTGTCGCTGGAGGACTGAGCATCCCAGTCATCACATCGCCTTGCCCTTTTCTTCTTTTAGGAGCATTCCCTACCGCAGCAAACACCAGGTAGACCGCCTGCAGCGCCTGGGAGACTTTCTGAACGTTGAGAGTTTTGACCTGGCTCTACTGGAGGAGGTAGGGTTTTGAGAGACAGAAACTGGGAGGATGGACAACCAGAGGAAGGGGCTCATCAAGCGTCCATACCCCTACCCTCAGGTGTGGAGTGAGGAAGACTTCGAATCCCTAAGGCAGAAGCTCTTGCCCACCTACCCAGCTGCACACTACTTTAGGAGGTGAGAACCTTGCTGGCCCGGAAGCCTAGTGACTAACCAGCCATTCCCTAGTGTGCCTGCACCTCCTCCTTCCCTCCCCACCCTCTCCCACATCATCTGCCTCTGGGTGTGAGAGCAGGAGATAGTGAAGCAGGAAGAATTTCAGTTCATCGCAGCCTTATCTTGAGGTCATCCCATCATTCTCCTATGAAAGGCAGTAGGAAGTTTGTTCTTTGTTCCAGGGCTGCTTTTCCTAGCAGAGAGAAAGGGAGGTGGGTGGGGTAGAGGGTGAGGTATTTCTCTTCCTGCCTTTTTGGCTATTAACTAGGGCTTGGCTTTTAGCGGAATCATTGGCAGCGGCCTTTGCATCTTCTCCAAACACCCAATCCAGGAACTCACACAGCATGTATACACCCTCAATGGCTACCCCTACATGGTGAGTCTGAACTCTGACCTCCTCCACCTTTACCTCTGTTTCCCACATCCCATTCTCCATGCACATAACATAGAGGAGGCAGTCCTCTTAGCCCCCTACCCCCTACCCCCAGTACCCTAAATTCCATCTGCCTTCTACCTGCAGATCCATCATGGCGACTGGTTCTGTGGGAAGGCTGTGGGGCTGCTGGTGTTCCATGTCAGCGGACTGGTGTTCAATGCCTACGTGACCCATGTGAGTGGAGCCAGCAGTGCTGGGGCTGGACCAGACAACCTAATACCAGAAGGGAGAAATGGGACTCCTCGGGCTGAGCTGTTGGGGTGGGGAGGTCACAGTAGGCAAGGCTCATCAGTCTACACGGAATATCGTACCAAGGGACAGGCACAAGCTTAGTTTAGACTTTGCCTCTTGGACTGTCTTATCTACCATAATCTCACTTATCTTGCACAGCTTCATGCGGAGTACAACCGACAGAGGGACATCTATCTAGCACATCGTGTGGCCCAAGCTTGGGAACTGGCCCAGTTCATCCAGTGTGTGAGCCTGGGCTTGATGGGGAAGTGGGATGGGACCCAGGGACTGTGGGGGGCCAGGGCCCCATTTATAGGGCACAGCTGATGATGGAGGAATTCTTCCCCCAGCCACACATCCAAGAGGGCCGATGTGGTTCTGCTGTGTGGGGACCTCAACATGCACCCAAAAGACCTGGGCTGCCGCCTGCTGAAGGAGTTGACAGGGCTGCAGGATGCCTATCTTGAAACTCAGGACTTCAAGGTGAGGCCCCGGCTCATTAGTTCCCCACTTACACCCCAGCTGCTTACCCTTTTCCTCCCACCGTCTTAACGCAAGCAAATAATTCACTCCTAGGGTTGTGAGGATGGCTATACAATGGTGCCCCAGAACTGCTACGTCAGCCAGCAGGAGCTGGAGCCATTTCCGTTGGGCGTCCGCATTGACTATGTGCTTTACAAGGTAGGTTTCTCCACCCTATCTCATCAACCTGTGCTGATTCTTGTTCGGTTAGCCGACTCTTAGAGCGCATGGACTCCTGCTGTGATGCTGTAGGAAAGCATTGGACTGCGAACCACAAGGTTGATGGTTCAAACCCACCACTTGCTGCTCAGAAACCATATACAGGGTTGCTGTTCCTCGGAATCTCTTCAGCGGCACATAATAATACAGCATGGGACAAGCAGGAACTGCTTTTTTGGAGATTGTTGTTGTTAGGTGCCAACAAGTTGGTACCGACTCATAGCGACCTTATGCACAACAGAACAAAACACTGCCCAGTCCTGGGACAACCTCTTAACTGTTGCCACACTTGAGCCCATTAATGCTGCCATTTTGCTGGGGGTCTTCCTCTTTTTTTCTGACCCTCCACCTTACCAAACATGATACCCTTCTCCAGCGACTGGTCTCTCCTGACAATATGTCCAAAATATGAGACAGAGTTTGGCCATCCTGGCGTCTGAGGAATGTTCTGGCTGTATTTCCAACACAGATCTGTTGGTTCTTTTGGCAGCCTATGGCACTTTCAATATTCTCCTCCAACACCATAACTCAAAAGCATCAATTCTTCTACAATCTTCCTTATTCACTGTCCAGCTTTTGCATGCATATGAGGTTATTGAAAAACCATGGCTTAGGTCAGGGGCACCTTAGTCCTCAAGCTGACACCTTTGCTCTTCAACACTTTCAAAAGGTCTCGTGCAGCAGATTTGCCTAATGCAATAAGTCGTTTGATTCCTTGACTGCTGCTTCCGCGAGTGTTGATAGTTGATCCAAGAAGAATGAAGTCCTTGACAACTGCAATCTTTTCTCCATTGATAAGAATGTTGTTTATTGGTCCAGTGGTGAGGATTTTTGTTTTTTTTATATTGAGATACAATCCATACTGAAGACTGTGCTCTTTGATCTTCATCAGTAAGTATTTTAAGTCCTCTTCACTTTTCAGCAAGCAAGGTTGTATCATCTGCATATCGCAGGTTGTTAATGAGTCTTCCTCCAATCCTGCTGCCACGTTTTGTTCATATAAGCCAGCTTCTCGGATGATTTGCTTAGCATAAGTACGGAGATAGGCCCTCCAATATAAGCTTAGAATAAGTACGGAGATAGGCCCTCCAATATAAGCTTCTCTCTTGGTCTTCACTCTTCCTAGGCAGTTTCTGGCATCTACATTTCCTGTAAGACCCTCAAAACCACTACAGGCCATGACCCTTATGGTGGCACCCCCTTGTCTGACCACGAGGCTCTAATGGCGACCCTGTGTGTGAGGCACAGCCCACCCCAGCACAGTCCCAGCCCTACCTGTGGTGAGTCACCCCATCCTTTCTATTCACTGTTCCCTATCGCAAGGTCACCCCTCCACTGACCTTCTTTCTCCTGCCCACTGCCCTGCCTTGTTCCAGAACCAGCAGAGACGTCACCATTGGTCACTGTGCTAAAGGAGGCCTGGACAGAGCTGGGCCTGGGCCTGGCTCAAGCTCGCTGGTGGATGGCGTTTGCTAGCGGTGGGATTGGTCTGGGGCTGCTGCTCCTGGTGGTGCTGTGTGTGCTGGTGGCTGGTGGGAAGACTGGGGACGTGACGCTGCTGCTCTTGAGCATCAGTGTGGGACTGGTACTGGGGGCAGGCGCAGTCTATTTCTTCCATAGACAGGAAGTCAAAGGCTTATGTAGGGCCCGAGCTGAGCTCCAGCATATGCTGGAAAGGGCCAGCAAAGCCCAGGACCAGGGCTTGATGCCTTGGCCAGCCCAGCTCCTGAGGCAGCAGGATGACAGAGCTGAAGAACAATAAAACTTGACATTCTTTAGTGGCTCCGCCATTTTCCTTGTAGGGACAGTGACAGGGGTCAAGGGTCAGTGTCTAAGCCATGAAGACTCCTATGTACTCCAGCCCTATCTACACACCCCAGCCTCCAACTTGAGACAGCAGGAGCCTTGTCTGTGGGAGAAATATGTTTATTGTAAACGATGAGGCCCTCTCTCAGGAAACCTAATTTACAGGGGTGGCATTGTTTGGGCAAGGAGGATGTAAGGCACTGGTCCTGAGAATGAACACAGTGGGGGATGCACTATGGACAACATTCCTGGTATGGCAGGAGGCAGACAGCCCACAGACTTCTAGCCCTGGGTGCCCATCCCCAAGGCCAGCTCACTAAGCCTGCGTTCCTCCTGGAAGCGGATGAGAGCATCTCGCTGGTTCACCACGTCCACCAGCTTCTTCAGGATCTGGTCCTCAGCCTGCCGATCAGCATCTGTCTTAAGGGTTGCTGAAGGGAAGGAAATGAAGTTTAGATGACAGGGAAGCTAGAGACGCACACCCGAAACCTAGTCTTTGTGACTTCTTCATCCTGGGCTTTTTTTCCTAATCTGTAAAATTAAGAGGTTTGCTAACACCAATGATTTTTAGTGTCATTTAGAAGTGACACTTTTTAAAGGAGACAAGGTAAAAGCTGCTCTGGTTGAATTGAAGGGAGAGGTGGGGGCCTTGGTGCGCCATCCTCTGGTGCCCCCTTGGACTGTCTTAGAGGCACACAGATCTTTTAGTCTGCTCTGAACCTGGGATCGCTAGGATTGCGTATTACAGTAGCCCCATGATGTCTGCTCCTCCCTACTTGCCACCAACCTTCTCGGTTCAAGTAGCCTCGTAGTTCCTGGTCCAGCTGCCACTGCTTCTCCTCCAAGTTCAGCTCCTGCACCCTGTGGAGGGCAGGGATAGATACATATCTGTAGCACAGCTGTCCAGGGAGCCCCAAGAACTCATGCACCACACCGTCACCAGCCCCCGCCCCTTACGTGATCATGAGCTCAGCTTCCTCAGCCACCAGACTGTTCTTCTTCTCAACGAGCTGAAGCAGCTGCTCTACCCACAATGCCTTTTGCTGTTCTGGGGAGCCTGATAGGAAGGAAGGAGTTAAGTGGTCAGGAGGTATCCAGCCAAGGGTTAGGAGAGACAGAGCCCAGGGAAAGAGAGGTGTTAGGGGTATAAGAAATGTTCAAGAGTTGTGCTCTGAGCCAGATCCTGGTGGTTGGAAGGATTGGAACACAGTGATAGGAGACAAGGGTGTATCCCTAGGGGCTTGTCCTCCCCACCTTTACTTACTGCTCTGCTGCCTCAGGGCCAGCTCCAACTTTATGCCCTCGGCCTCCAGCTCCCTCAGAGAAACCTCGATCTCATTTTGTCGCCTCTGGATGGCCTGTGAGGGGTACAAGGCCAGAGGCCCAGAGACCGTCAGATTACTCATGAATGATACTCTGTTGTTAAGTGCTGTCGTGTCTGTTCCAATCCATAGCAACCCTATATAGGGTTTCTGAGTTGGTAAATCATTGCAGGAGCAGAAAGCCCTTATCTTTCGCTCATGGAGGGGCTGGTGAGCTTGAACCTCTGACCTTGTGGTTAAAAGTCTAGTGCATATCCTACACAGTCACCATGGTCTCGAATGGGATTCTGGAGGGGCTCTTAATCCCCAGTCACAGAACTTCCACCCCATCACAACTTCTGGGAACCCCTGGGCCTCACCTGGGCCTTGCAGAACCTCTTCATCTCCTCCTCCTTGGCACGGCGCAGCACAGTCCGACGCCATGTTGGGTACTTCTCCATGGTGCCTGACGTCTTGGCAAATATCAGCAGTGCCTGCGGCAATCAGACAAATCGGGGGTTGGGCTCCATGCTTGGTGAATGGGGTTTGAGAAGCTCCATTTGTGAGGGGCAGGAAGGAACTGGACTGGAAGAGGGGTTAAGTTCTGGGAGACAGATGGGGGTATAGAGAAATGCTGAGGAAAGATGACATTCCAAGAGAAGGGCTCAGAGAAGAGCGTGGTGTAGACTTCTACGTGACCCAGAAAGAGGTGTTTAGTAGGCATACTGGCTTGGGTAGAGCAAGTGGCTCGAGTTTCTCCCATTCACCTGCTCTGTGTCTTCATCCAAAGCAACATCTTCCTGCTGTTCCTCCTCTTCACTGGAAGGGGGACTCTCTTCTTCCTCTCCCTTCTCCAAGGCCATTAATGCTGAGCTAGGGAACCCTGAAAACGGAAGAGAGACAAGGCCTGGGGTCCCCATGTCCTCCCTTTCAGTTCCCCAGGATTCCCCTTCCGGGACCACCCACCTATGCCACCTCTGACCCTGGGTCAGCTCATCTGTGGGCAGAGGCCCAATGTTACCTTGAGGACCTTGAGCTGGCACTCCCCAGCCCACAAAGCTGCCCTCCAGGGCCTGTCGAGCCAAGACAGAGCAGCTGCGGGGGGGCTTTGGAGGAGGTTCCATTTCCGCATCAGGGGTAAGGTTCAAAGAGGATAATCGCTGACGTTCGAGGCTGGAGAGGCGGATCAGCCGACGGGTGGGCTGGCTGGGACTTGGAGCAGGATTGGCCCCCTCCTGGGGGACTATGGGTGTTGAGGGGGCTGATGGCAGGCTGTCATTGCCTAGTGTGGGCAGCTCCTGGAAAAGCCAACTGGTCTAATCAGTGATCTGCCCCATTCGGGGCTGAGCCACCTCTTTGGAGCAAATGTGGGTGTGGCATTTATTCACACAGTATTTACAGAGCAGTGTTAGCTCTGTTCCAGATGTGTGAGGTAAAGTTAGATCAAACAGACCCAAATTGTGCTGCCCTCATGGAATTTACAAAGCGCTGCCTGAAGAGCCCCCCTGCCTATTGCCCACCCAACACATACACAGATTCAGAGCATTTACCGGGCTCTCAGGGCCTCTGCCTGTGCTGTCCTCTTTGCAGTCTGTCTGGGGCAGGTGCTGAAGGCAGTAGAAGTGTTCTGGAGAAGTTGGGGGAGGGCGGAAGAAGGAAGCATCAGGTGGAGGCAATCCAGTGTTAAGTCATTAGCCGCTCAAAGTGGCAGCTGGTGGGGAAGAGGGGTGTGGAAGGGAAAGAAAAGGCCCAGCATCTGCAGATGCATTCTGCCTGTGTCCTGGTTCCTTAAACCAAAAAGCCCCATTGCTATCCAGTCAATTCCGACTCATAGCAGCCTTACAGGAGAGACTAGAACTGCTCCTTGGGGTTTCCCAGACTGTAAATCTTTATGGGAACAGCCTCGTGTTTCTCCTGCAGAGCTGCTGGTAGGTTTGAACTGCCGACTTTGTGGCTAGCAGCCCAACAATTAACCCACTTCACCAGGGCTCCTTCCTGATTTCTTCAAATCTCTCATTTTGGATCTTGGAGGAGACACAAATGATGATCTTGTGCTCAAAGTTGCAAAGCCCATCTTGAATTTGTTTCTGCCTTGTGCCCAGGCCCCCAGGCCCTCCCCCACCTACTCACCATCTCCTGGGTGCTGCCCATAGCCACCTGGCCACAGCGTGGCCTCACAGACACGGCAGCGGAAGCAGCTCCGGTGGAAGAAACGGCTGTTGACACAGAGGCGTTCCAGGAGATAGAGCTGCCCCCCACAGAGTGCACACAGGTCTCCGGCACCAGCCTGCAGCATCCCAAAGCCACCAAGTCAGCTACAGAGTTGCTTCCGTAAACGCCCTGCCTTGGCCTCCCCAACGCCCTGCTCTCACCTCGGGGTGTTGGGATGGGGGCGTTAGGGGGACACTGGGCGGCTCTGGAACAGGTGGCTCCTCCATACTTGGAGTCTCAGCCTCTACCTAAATAGGGGAATAAATGCTCAGGCCAGGAGGGCAGAGAGAGAGGAAGAGCTGGGGAACAACTGTGTGTGCAGACCAAAGGGCAGGAAGACTAGGGTGCTGAGACTAGGAAGGGAGACAGGCTGGAGGGGGAGTTGGGTTTACAGGACTTGGGGCAGGGACCATCTAGTCCCCACTTGCATTTACCTCTAAGCGACGTTTCTTGCCACCAGCATCGTCCCCATTTTCCTGCAAAAAGTCATAGATGCTAGATGGGTCTCTGAGCCCCTTCTCCCATTCTGAATGTCTTCCCCACCACCCTGGGATCCACCACTGAGCACCTGGGCTAGCTCTAACCCTGCCACCTCTTCACCTGGGCTCGGGTCCGTTGCAGGGTTCTCTGCAGTTTGCCAAGGAATAGTACAGCACTGGGGGTCCCTGAAGAGCCTTGGTTCTCAGAGCCTGAACAAGGAGTCAGGGTGTCAGGGGGAAATGGGAGCCAATACTGTACCACCAGGACAGACAGTCATACTCCAGCCCAGAAGGACTCCTCCCCCAGGCTGGCCCTCACGGGACTCCTCATATATACAGGCTTGCGTGCCCTCCAGGTCACCTGGGCTACAAGGCTTGCTCTTGTTCTTGAATGCACTGTGGAAGTGGCTGAGGTAGGCCACAAGGCCCAGCGGGTCCCCCCCGGCCACCAGTGCATGTGCAGACAACACTGGCGTGATGCCCAGCTCCTGCTCTGCCATCTTCAGAGCCCACGAAGTGGCTTCCAGGGCCTCCATCCCCTGCACATCTGAGGGATCTCTGTGAGATAAGGGGCAGAGAAGAATGGGAGACAAGACCCAGTCCCACTGGGGAGAGATCGGGACACTAGGAGAGGAGGATGGGGCAGGGGGTGGGACTCATAGGGAAGAGTGGGTGTGGAGGCTTATAGTTTTCCACCACCACCTCTGTCCATTGACAGCTGCTCTGGCCTTGTGGGTGGTGAGGGGGGAACTGTATTACTGGTGCATTTGATTCTTAGGGGAGGTGAAATGTGGCCGTAAGGGATCATCAGTAAACTGGCAGCGCTGGAACTCCACCAGGCATGCTCACTTCCACACAGTGATCTCACCACACACACACCCCGCCCCCCCACAGCCTGAAGTAGAGCGTTGGCCCCCCCAGCCTGACCCCTGACTCACAGCAGGCTGGGCTGTAGCCGGTGCACCAGGGCGCACAGAGCTAGCCCATCAGTCCAGGAGGAAGACAGGTCAGTGACATGGACACCAGGGTACCCGGCGGTTTGCTCCTGGCACCAGCGTAGCAGTGCCTCCCGGGTGCCTGTTGACCATGGAAGAGAAGGTCATGCTGGGCCCGAGGCCCTGTCCTAGCCCTGGTGCATGGGAAACCATTATGGGGGGTCTCTATGGGAGGTGGAGTCAGGGCCCACCCCTCCTGTAGCTCTAGCCTGAGGCCTGCTCCCTGCCCCCTTACCCACCCCCCACCCCCCCTGCCCTGTTTTCCTAATTTAAACAATATCTTGTTGGAATCAAGTGGTGGTGGGGGGGGAGGGGTGGTGAATAAAGTTAAATCACAAGGCGTGCCATACAGGGCAGCACACTTGTGACCTGAGAGGGTTGGGGAGGCCTGGAGGCTCAAAGGAAAGTGTTCCCCACCACCAGGAGCAGACCCTCGCGACCCCCAGTCAGTACTGCTGAGGCTGAAAAGGCTGCTAAAATACCCAGGAAGTTCTGGGCAGATTGTCACACTGCTCCTCCACAGCTCCAGGGTCCTCAAACTTGCCACCACCCCAAAACGAACCATCCTCCAGCACACCCTCCAGTCTAGAGGCTGCACCGTCCTCTGGAGGCCGCATTGCTCACCGGTGGCCGTCTTTCCTGCGTCTGTCTTGTCATTCTTCTTCCGAGCGGGCTCCTTGGCCACCACATCATACAGGTCTCGTACCTAAGGCAACCCCTTTTAGGTTGCAGGTCAGGCTGACCGTGCCCCCTTCCCCCCGACCTAGGGAGGACTTATGAAGTGGGACAGTGACTAGACTGGCCTGGATGGAAGGCCTGTGCTTGGGGGACAAAGTAAGTCTGAGGGTGAGAGGGGTCTGACCTGATTGGGGGTCACAGCCCGGAGGTTCAGGTTAGGGTAGCGGGTGGCTGGGTCCAGCCCATACTGGGCCACATGGCGATGCATGTTTTCCGGGGATGTCTGGGACAGGAGCTGATACAGGCTCTCACTGGGGGCAGGAGGCACGAGTGGGGGACACCATCAGTACCTACTCATCTAGATGGCCAGGATCCTCTCCCCACCACCCTTCCCTCCCCCCACCCCATACCTGTCCCACAGCTAGTCCCCTGGACAGCCCTGGTCTTACCGTTCAGCCAACACATCCAGGGGCTCAGCACCTTCTGCCCACCGCTTCACCATCCAGGCTGCATCAAAGGCAGCCAAGAAGCCCCGGGCTACCCCAGTGCCCAAGGGCCAGAAGGGCTGCAGGGACAGAAAGTAGATGAAGGGAAATACAGTAAGAGCACCCCAAGCCTGGATGTCCCCCAAGGTCAGACTCAAAGGGCTCCCTTCATCAGACTAGGTAGCCTCTCACCTCCACCAAGCAGCCACCAGCTCTCTCAACAAGTAAACCTTTTTACCAACCCTCCCTATTAGGAGTTATCGCTGGGTGGTGCAAATAGTTAACGGTTAACGTGCTTGGTTGAAAAGTCTGGTCTACCCACAGGTGTCTTGAAAGAAAGGTCTCGTGATTTTCTTCTGAGAACTCAGCTGCTGGAAACCCCATAGAGCACAGTTCTGCTCTGACACACACTCGTGGTTGCCATGAGTCAGAATGGACTTAATGGAAACTTGATAGCACTAACCCTTCTAGTCTGCCTATATTTCCCACTAAGAACCTTTTTCCTCCCACAAGGGAATTCTTGCACCTCTTTACATCAGGAAGCTCATCCCCACCTTCCCCAATCAGGGAGCCCTGAACCCCCTCACCTCCACCAGACAGTCCCCCACCAGTCCCAGCAGCAGGCGGGCACCGTGCTTCTCTTGCACACGAGCAGCGCTCTCTGCCCGCATCATGCTTGTGAAGTCAAAGGCAGAGACATCAGGCCGTCCGTGCGCATCCTTGGCAAACTCCAGCTTCCCGAGCTTGCCATGGGTGGCAAAGTCTGCAGCTTCCCGGGCAAAACGCTGCAGAGCCTCAGGTACCACATTGGCACTGCCCAGCAGCTGATCCGTCTCCGAATAATCCTATGTGGTCAACAGGTCAGAACCAGCAGGGTCAAATGCCGGACCCATCCCATTGGATGTACAGAGTGTACATACTGAGACCCAGAGAAGACAAAGGGCTTTCCCAGGCAACACTGCAGTTGAAGGCTGAGTTGAGGTTCAAATTCAGATGTCCCACTTCACCCTGCTATACTAAGGGCCCAAGGCCCAGCCCTGTGCAGAGACCTAATTATCAATACTGTCATCACGTGCTTTGTACAAAGGACTGAACTTCTCAGAGCCTCAGTTACCTCACTGTTTAAAGATAACATGCCCACCTCTCCTGATACTCATGAAAATGAAATGGAAAATTCATATAGAGCTCTCAGCAGAGTGCCTGGCACAAAATAGGCACTCAATTAGTTAATCCATTCAGCAGTTCTTACTGTTTACTACATACCAGGTACCACTCAAGGCACTGGGAACTAGCAATAAGGAGAAGAAACAAACACACAAAAGTCCTTGCCCTCAAGGAGCTTACATCTAGAGTACAGGCAGTCCCTGAGTTAGGAACATCCCGAGTTACGGACAACTTTAACTTGCCCTTTAATGCTATCCAAATCTGCCCTTTTAGAAATGACCAAAGCAACCCCTGCGCAAATTCTTCATCAGTCACCTTCACCTGCTGCACCTGCATCTTTAAAGCCACTGAAAAGCCTCTGAGCTTTTCTTGCACTAAGGCTAAATAAGGACTATCTGTACCTGTTCCCACTCACCTACAAATGCCACTTAAAAGACTTAAAGACAGTTGGAAAAGAACTCATTTGTAACCTGGGGGTCTGCCTGTAAAAAGACCGATATAAGGCATTTAGCTCAGAATGTCATCCCAGTGGCTCAGAATATAAATGCCAGGGGAGAAGGGTTTGTGGAGCTGAAGGAACCATGGTACAGAAGGAGAGCATGATGACCTCTTTCTCTCACCTGGCGCAACACACCCAGTCGCAGAAGGCACTGCTTCTTGGCTGTCATCACAAAGTAGTGGGTGTCATCTTTGTAGTACACAATATTCTCCAGATCAATGCCTGAGAACAGAGAAGGAAGAAGGTGTGTGTGTATGTCACCTCTCCTAACACTCCACCACGGCCTGCCCTGAGAGCTGGGGCCAGAGCTCAGTCTGCACTGAGAGTCTCACAGACACAGTGGACCACCTGTCTCAGGCCCAGGAGGGCTGAGGGCTTGGGGCAAAAACAGAAACAGAGCTGGAGTGGCAGCTGGGAGACCTGTACCACTCAGTCACAGGTTGTGAATGGCAGTCTGGCCTCATAAACTGGGGTGTGCAGCCATTGTAAACACAGGGTATCTTCTTGAAGTGCCACTTTAATCTGGAATTTGTTGTTTTACATTAAGGCTCCTATAAAGAAGTACAAAGCAAAGGAGCACAAAGAAGCACCTGAAGCTGAGCCGAGCCTTGATTTTGTGGCACAAACACTTTGTGAGAGAGCCCCAAGAGATGTCATGCAGGGGGCCAAGTAGGTTGTGCCTGCTGAGTTCTTGAGCATGGGTTCCTCTTTGCTGCCCAGCCATAAAGATGGGAGAGTGTGAGATTCTTGGACCGAGGGACAACTCAGGGAGGAAGAGGGAAGCAGCCCACAGCCAGGCCAGAAAAAGCGGCCCCACCTGTGGCTTTGAGCAGACTCTGGAAGAAGCTCTGGTTGTAGATCCTGGCCACACCACTGATCTCGGGCACCTGCGTCTCCTCCACAGTGCGCCCGTTCACAAAGTTAACAGTGATTCCAATGGCCAGTTTGCCTCGCATTTCTCGGATTGTGAAGCCTGGGGGGTTGAGAGAATAGGGAGGAGGACACAGTATATATAATCCCAAAACCAACCTTACTGATGTGGAGTTGGTTCTGACTCACTGCAGCCCATGTGTGGCAGAATCCAAGAACTCCTCAAGGTTTACTTGGCTGTAATCTTTTCAGAAGCACACAGACCTTTCTCCCATGGAGCCACTGGGTGATATTGAACCGCCAACCTTTAGGACTGTAGTCATAGCGCTATTTGCACCACCCAGGGGTCACTACTCATGATGCTGGCTGCTTTGTGGGGAGGGAGTCACTCACCTGCAGGGACGAATTTACCTCCAGCAGCGGAGATCAGAACATCAAACTCATAGTTGGCCAGTTGGGCTGGGGAGCTGGGCTGCAGCTGGGCACGCCAGCCAATCCCTATGGCAGAAAGTATAAGAGGCATAAACGTATGGAGGCTGGAGTGCCCTGACACTCCCAGGGCAAGTCAGTGAAATGATAAAAATGCATGTGAAGAACATTTTGATTCAGAAAGCAATGACACATTCACAACAGCCATGGAAGGTAGAGAAGAAAGAAACGTTCTTTCCATTTGATAAATACTCAAACTGAGACTCAGAGCACTTCGCCCAAGACCACACTATTAGAAAGGGGACTTCGAGCCCCAGCCTATTTCTTCTACAGACCAAGTTCTTCTTGGTGGATGGGGGTTCCTGGGAGCAGAGGAGTACTTACCCTTCTGGGGAGGGGGCTGGAGACCACTGAATGTGACACCCCAGTGAATTTCCACTCCCAGCAGTAAGGCCACCTTCAGCAGCAGCAGCTGAAGCTGCCGAATGCCTGGAAGGGAGGAGGGCGTTAGGAACAGGGACCCTGCCTGCACAGCCTACTGGAACACCAATGTATGGTCTGGTCAGAGATGGAGACTGTCTCAGAGGTCAATTCATGCCCATTTTATAGACAGGGACCTGAGCCCTGAAGGTAACTGACGCTGAAGTGACTCGTGCTCTCTGCCCCTTGCCTGGTTCCCACTTGGGCCTGCCTCTAGGTCCAAGTGCACCTGCCTGCTCCAGGCCACCACGTGATACTCACTGATGTGGTCGAGGGTGCCTGTGCAGAAGCGTCCGTAGAACTTCTTAGCACCTAGTGCCCGCAGGTCATGGATGGTGAAAGGCCAGAGATGGAGCACGTTGTGACGAGAGAACTTGGTGCGCTTTTCCACTAGCACCACACGGGCCCCCAGCAGTGCCAGCTCCACTGCAGCCCGTAGTCCACAAGGCCCAGCTCCCACCACCAGGCACTGTGAACACAGAAGGTAGTGTGGGCCTAGCATCCCGCCTCCCTCCTGCAACTCCCCTCATCTCCAGGACCCACCTTGGTGTTGATACAGGCCTGGCCCTGCTGGTAAGCAGACTGGCTAGCTCGCTTGTCCAGCTTGGCCCACAGGGACTTGGCACTCCAGTAGTTGAGCTGAGCCTTGATCTTGTGGTACTGGGTCAGCCCCCCGCCAGCCTCTACCCCCAGGGTCTCACATAGCCCCTGGAAGCTGCTCAGCACATCATGGCACAGCTGGGCCTGCAGGAAGCTCTCAAAGTAGGCATGTGCTGGGTTGGTGCTCGTGGGTACCGCCATGGAGGTCCCTAGGAGGTCACAGAGAAACCAGCTATACAGAGGGGAGGGGCTGCAGGAGAGGAGGAAGAGAAGAGGCAGGAGACTGGAGGCAGGAATGGGAGGAAAAGAGTGGTTGGTGTGTTTATGTGTGTGGAAACCTGGGCTCCACATCTGATTGGCTGTGCACCTCCCTCCTGACCTCCTTCCTAGCCAGGATCTGCTCCAAAGACAACTGTGATCCCATGCACTCCAAATGAAATTTGCCAAATTTGGAAATGAGAAATCAGCAATCCAGGTCACCAAGGGCGTGGGGAAGCCATGAGAGGCTCCAGCCCAGCCGTCTAATCCCAGTCTCTCCAAAGGCACTGCATTCCCTAAAGCCCTAGGGCAGAAGTTCCAAGACTGCGGAAACAGGACTTGCGGGCATTTCTCAGACAAGGGGAGGGCACGTTGCCCTTTGAGCTGATATAGATTTAATACCCCCACCTCCAGCTGCTGGGCATCCATATTGACCCATCTTACCCTTGGCCTCCCTCAAAGATGCTCAAAGGCCTGAATGCCACGCAGGGTTGTGGGTGTGCCTCGTCAGCGTTAAGCAGTTTTCCTCCTCGCAACGTGCTCACCTCCTGAGGGAGTGGGAGGCCGTCTCTAATTGCGTAGCCTCTAGTTCCCATTTCCCAAACTACTTCAACAGCGAAAGATGTTTTTACTGTCTGGATAACAGAGGCCTCGGTTTATTTCTGACTCACTGTGGTCGAGGCACTTCCCCCTGAAAATTGACCGCTGTTCATTAGGGCCTAAAGAGCGGACTAGGGGGTGGGGTGGGGCAGAAGCTGGGTCCTCATTTCAGCCTCCTCCCACCCCAATCGACGCCCCGCCCCGTCCTCTCTCAAGGTCTTGTCCGTTTTCCCAGGAATCTCTCCAAGACAAGGGGCTCTTTGTCCCCAACCCCAGGCTCTAGCCCCCTACGCAATTGAAGGATGTCGGAGAGACTTTATCACACTGGATCTCAGAGGGTACGGGACAGGGCGTTGCCAATTTGTGTCTTGGGGGACCAAGGAAGGGGAGATAACAATTAGGGCAGGTCCTGCAGTGGACCTCGGATCCCTGTGAGCTGCGACGGGGCAGGAGAAAAGGCCAAAGTCACCCGTTGGATATAAGACTTAAGGAACGGCAAAGATCTCCTTTGGGGGAAGGGAAGTGAAAGGTAGAAGACCTCGGCGAAGAGGAGAGGGGGCGACCCAGCCTGGTACTGCTAAGAAAAAGGTTGTGCAAGGCGCGGAAGGCAGCTCGGGGCCGAGCGGTCTGGGAGGATGGAGAAGGAGCTGGACCACTGGAGGCTGGACGGGGACCCACAGTCCCGACACTTAAGTCGGGAGCCGGAATAGGCGGGTGCACCAACCAGGCGCGGTTCCGGAGCCCGGGAGCTGCATTTCCCTGGAAGGGCGCCTGGCCCCCAGCCCCGGCCTCTGTGAGTAAGGGGCGCACAGCTGTACGACTTACCGGGCGACGCCGGAGCCAGGAGGGGCAACTTCCTGCCGAGTCGGGGCGGTGGGGGGCGGAGGCAGAGGCGGGGTGGAGGAAGGGGAGGTTGAGAAGTACGGCCGGGGGCGGATATGCCCTGCTGGGACCCTGGCGGGTGTGGAATTTGGCCGCGGGGTGCGAGGCGCACAGACGCCTTACGAATGCCTTACTATCATCTTGTTACCCTGAGCCCGGCTTGGGACAGCCCCCGACTGCAGGGTGGCGCCCCAGGGCGTGGCGCTGCTGGTACCTCGTTGCGTCTGGAGCGAGAGACCTGAGGCTAACCTAGCGGGTCCGAGAGCTGGGGGCGTCCAGTGCTCGGCACTCGCCCTCAGCCTCGGGGTCCTTCCTGGATCCCCTCCTGCAAGCTAGGCGAGGCGAGGCCACCCGCCCTTCCGTGGGCGCTTCCGGGAGCTGAACCAGAACCTTGAAGGAGTTGGTGGGTCTGAGCCCTAGGGTGGCGCCGGAACGTCTGTGCTCTCCTCATTTCTCCTACTTGTCTCAGATGCCACACTACGGATCCAAACTCAAAATCTGCCTCTTCTGCCACAAATCTGCCTCTAGACACGGGGAAGTGAGGGAAAGGGAGATTTAGGAGAGGAACTAGATTCCCAAAGTTCAAGAATGCCTTAAAGTGAAAACCTAAGGAACTGCCAGCACTGAAAAGGGCATGAGGGACCTTTGGGATCAACTTCCTCATTTTCAGGTAAAATAACAACACTGAAAATGAAGGGACTCGTCTCAAATCATTCAACTTCTGTTGTGTGTTCACTCAGCGATCCTGTATGGGGTTTCCACGAATGGCTGGTTGGATTGGGTTTGCACTGCCGATCTTTTGGTTACCCTACAGCCCACACACTAGTTATTAATATAAGACATCGATTCTCATTTATTTCGTGTCTACTATGGAGGCTGTGGGATAAAGCGCTGACCCAAAAGGTCGGTTTGAACCACAAGGTTGGCAGTTCAAACTCACCAGCCATTTCCTTGGAAGCCCTATACAGGGTCTCTATGAGTCCAACGATTTCATGGCACTTAACAATAACAACAATGGAGTCCTGGTGTGGCGCTATAGGATAAGCCCTGGACTGCTAACCCACAAACCAGCCAGCCACAAACAGGCTGACTATGAGTTGGCTCTGACTGGAAGGCATTTAACAACACATTTAACTCCAATGTGTTGGAGTTCTGGTTGATGATTCAAACGCACCAGCTGCTCTTTGGAAACCCTATACAGGTGGCTATAAGTTGGATTTGACTCGAAGGCACTTAACAACACTATGAATATTGGAGTCCTGGTGTAGGAAAAATACTGGGCTGCTCACCGAAAGGTTGGAGGATCAAACTCACCAGCCACTTCTCAGAAACCCTATATAGATAGGGTTGCCATGAGAAAACAGGGTCACTGAGATGCTGTGGTCTGTACAAGTTAGATGGCATGTGGCAGAACTGGCATTGGGGCCTAGGTCTGTCTGGGTTTTACCAAACTTGCATTGACTCAATTTGACAAGTAAAAGCCTGAATTGTAGAAGCAGTTTCTTGTTTAGAGGAAGTGACTGTGTTACACTAGAAACCTTAACAAAACCAAGGAATAAATGGGAGGTGTGCTCTCCCTGAGATCCAAAAGAGACTTCTGCGTGCTCCATAGCTCTTTCTGTTTTCCTCATTTTGCATTTTGCCGGGAAACCTCTGGGGCCCAGTGAGATCTGCACACTCACTGCTCCCAGTTTGAACTGAGAAACAGGCAGGAGGAGAGAGGCAAAGGGAAATGCTTGCTTTCTGCCAGAAAATGGAATTCAGCCAGGTCATGCTCAGGAAAGTAGGCCAGCCTCCCAGCTGGGCCCATCTTAGCTCTTGAGTGTGACTCAATATTTGGCTTGAAGTACATTTGCTGAACATCAGACACACCCGTATTTAAATACACAGAGTAAAATTATCCTGAAATTTACTATGTTAGTAGCCTTTGTTGTTAAGTACTGCCTAGTCAGTTCCAACTCATAGGGTTTCCAAGGAGCATCTGGTGACTTTGAACCACAGGACCCTAGTTCTTTATCTCACACACTGTTCATGGTGGTTCTGTGCCATGAAGTTGGTTCTGACTCATAGTGATGAGCCTGTATAGGGTTTCTGAGGCTGTCATTCTTCATGAGAGCAGAAAGCCTCATCTTTCTGGTAGTTTCAGACTGCTGGTGTTGAGGTTAGCAGTCTGACTTGTAAACACTACGCTACAGAGCTCCTTAGAACTAGCACCCTTAGAACTGTCCTAAATCCCTTTCATGAGCAAATAACAACCAGCTGCTCCTGCATGTGCAGAGGCCCTTGACTTAGAGACTTGCCATTGTAGCCAACCAGGGCTTCTAACTAGTTCATTTTGGTTACACTCTCTGCTGAGAATTTACATTTCCATCCTTTCTGAGTCAGTGTATATGGGGTAGAAATGCAAATTCTCAGTAAGGGGTTAAACTGTAATGAACAAGTTGGAAGTACTGAACCAAACAGGAAGTTGTGGCTCCCTGACTGGCAAATGATAAAACGGACTCAAAAAAAGTCACAAGAAGGATGATTCTATCAGTACAGAGAGACTGCTGACTTGGGGTTTTACTTTATGCTAATTAAAGATATACACTAGAACATAAAGCAGTGTGGAATACATTGGTCTGGAGCCCAACTTTGGTCAGATTCCAACTTTATTTCACATTAGCCTCCTGTGACTTTGAAAGTCAACTGACCACTTGCAACCTTCTCATCTCTAAATGGAGGCAAGTTAATTACTCAGCCTCTTCAGCACGTTTAGATTCTAAAATCCTATAATTCAGATATGTACATAGTGGAGATCCAAACCAAGTTCTATTGATAGATCTCTATTAAAAAATGACCTCTATTAAGATAACAGAATAAATTTATTATTAATACACAGACATTTCTCTCCTTTATTAGAATCTTTTTAAGTCATGATCCACCTTGTATATGTATTAGAACTAAAATACTGGCACCATCACATTGGCCATTCCCTACTGGATCCAAAAAAAAAAAAATATCTTATATGTGAGAAGTCACCTTTAAAAGGGTCAGAGTCTAATGGTTTTGCAAATAATCATGCCAGTGGTGGCTTCCATTTAAAAACTTGAGTCATACTAAGGTTAATTGACCTAACAGTCAACAAAGACAATGTTCTACAGCCTACTTTGTGAGTCAGTATCTTAAAAGCTTGGGTGCAGCCACCTAAATGCAACTATTGGTCTGGAAAAAACAAGAGTGGAGAAAAGAAAAAGATGCTTGGAAAGGATTAGTCCAATAAACCAGTGGGCCACAAGAACATCAGTCTCCACAACCCTGAGGTCAGAACTAGATGGTTAGAAGGTACCTAGCTACCACTACCATTTGCTCTGGAATTAGAAGAGCATAGATAGAGTTGGAGAAAAATGTAAAACAAAACTCAAAATCACGCACAAAAAAACACCAGGCTTAGTAAAGACTAACTGGAAATGAACTCACAA